TCATAATCTCAGTGTTGTGAGATCAAGCCCTGTGTCAGCTTCTGTGTTCAGTCCTGGAGTCTGGTTGAGATTCTCTGCTTTTCTGCTTCCCTCTGCCCCTCCCTGCTCCTGTACACACAGGCGTGCTCTCTCTCTTTAATAAATAAATAAAATGTTTTTTAAAAAATTAAGAAAATAAAGAACTTCTTAAAATTTTAAACAGAAAAATTAAAGAACTCCTAAACAGTAATAAGAAAAAGACAAACAGGGGCACCTGGGTGGCTCAGTTGGTTCAGTGGCAGGTCATGATCTCAGGGCCCTGGGATCGAGCTCCGCATCTGATCTCTGCTCAGCAGGGAGTCTGCTTCTCCCTCTCCCTCTGTGCTGCCTCTCCCTCTCTCGCTATCGAATAACTAAAATATTTAAAAAAAAAAAAAAAGAAAGAAAAAGACAACCTAATAGGAAAAATGGAAAAGTAGAAAAAAAAAAAGAAAATACATTTTTAAACCATACTAAGATTCTATTTAACACCCATTGAATTGGCAAAACTTGAAAAGCCTTGGCCAAGATGTATGTCATTGGGAACTTTTATACATCACATGTAAGAGTATTAATTAGTACAATCACTTCATATAATGATTTGACATTTTCTTGAAAAATCAAAGATGGGGATGCCTGGGTGGCTCAGATGGTTAGGCATCTGTCTTTGGCTCAAGTCATGATCCCAGGGTCCTGGGATCCAGCCCCGCATCGGGCTCCCTGCTCGGCGGGAGGCCTGCTTCTCCCTCTCCCGCTCCCCCTGCTTGTGTTCCCTCTCTCGCTGTGTCTCTCTCTGTCAAATAAATAAATAAAATCTTTTAAAAAAAATCAAAGATGCACATACTGAATACCCAGCAATTTTACTCAGTGTGTATACTAGAGAAATTTCTGTATTTTTGTACCAGCAGATACGTTTATGAATATTCATAGTAGCATTATTCAAAAATACAATTTATTGAGATAAAATTTACATATAATAAAATACTCTCATTTTAAGTATATAGTTCAAGGTTTGACAAATGTTTACACAAATGTGACTAGATAACCACAACCAAGATATAAAATTTTCCAGCACCCCCAAAGGTCCCTCTTTCTCCTCTGTATAAGGACCCTTCTCCCACTATCAATATACTTTTCTATTTTCTAGGATTTCATATAAATGGAATAATGAACTATGTAATCATTTGTATCTGGCTTCTTTCCCTTGACATAATGCACTTGAGATTCATTTTGTACATGTTGTTTGGATCAGTATTTTCTTGCTTTTTGTAGCTGAGTAGTATTCTGTTATATAGATATGTCAGGAATTGCTTTAATATTCACTAGTTTTGGGCTTTTGGATTGTTTCCAGTTCTTGGCTATTACAAATAAAAAAGCTGCCATGAAAAAACATGTACAGGTATTTCGATTTTTCTATTTTTTTTAAGATTTTATTTATTTATCTGACAGAGAGAGACACAGCGAGAGAGGGAACACAAGCAGGGGGAGTGGGAGAGGGAGAAGCAGGCCTCCCGCCGAGCAGGGAGCCCAATGCGGGGCTCGATCCCAGGACCCTGGGATCATGATCCGAGCCGAAAGCAGAAGCCTAACGACCGAGCCACCCAGGTGCCCCTATTTCGATTTTTCTTGTGTAAATTCCTAGGAGTAGAATTATTGGGTTATATACTAAGGGTATATTTAACACATAAGAAATATAAATCTGTTTTCCAAAGTGGTTGCACTATTTTACATTCCCACCAGCAATGTATGAGGGCTATGGTTCATAGCAGCATTATTCATAACAGCAAAAATAGAAACAACCCAAATGTTTACTGTCAGAAGAATGAATAAATTGTGGTTTATTCGTTCAAAAGAATACCACAGACAATTAAATTAACCATAGCTATACGCAGCAACATGACTAAAACATTAAAAAAGGCTAGTCATAGATGAATACATAAAGTATATTACCTGTATATATATACGTGTCTAAAGCATGCTAAATGAAACGATGTTATTTAGAAATATATACATTTTGGAAAGACTTTAAGATAAAGCAAAGGAGTGATAAACACAAAATTCATGATAGTGGTTAACCTCTGGGAAAGGGTATGTAGGGATGGAAAGGGATAGGGTGCTTGCAGATATTGGTAATATTGGTAATACTGGTATTGGTAGTATTGATATTGGTAATATTGATATCATTAATTTGCACAATAGATACATGGTGTTTATTATTCTTTAACTGACACCAACATTTTACATATGTTTATATATGATAAAGTTTTATAATAGAAGTTAAAAAAGAAAATAACGATAGTTGATGTTTCTTTAGTCTTACTCTCTGGTTTTCTTTAAAAAAAAAAGATTGACTTGAGCATTTGTCCTATATTGTAATATATTTTCCTAATTCTATTTAGTATTCTGTACACTTATGCTGGGAGATTGCAGTTATAGTATGGGAAGAATTCTGGAATGCATTTCTATCTATGGGAGTAAGAATTTAGATATCTGACTCCCAACAATATTAATAGCAGTAATTAAATTCATATATCCTTGTTTATAGAGATGAGAATATAGCTCACCTGATAACAAAAATGGTTGAATAGAATTCATTATTTCTTAAAATTATACCAGGGAAGGATATATCTTCTATTTATTTCCTTTCCAATTGAATTATTTAAAACTAAGGTTTAAAAGCCATCATAAAATGACCTCATTTTATATAAGGGATACAAATATAAAGGATATATCATTAGTTCTAGAAAGCCTGGATGGTCACTTATTGGATAAGAGGACAGTAATACAGACAGTAAAAACTTCTCTCTCTCTATTTCCCTATCTTGGTTGTATCATAGGATTACAAGTTCAAGAAATGGAAAATTTTATAAGATCAAAAATGCCAGTGAGTAAAATGGAAACATGGCAAGAAATGTTTTTGTGTGTTTTGGTAGTGTAAAAAAACCATAGGTTATAGAGTTCCATCAGATGGTAAATTTCTATGTCCTTCCTGACATTATTACCAAAGACAGTTGTTTTAAAAATTAGTTATAATTTGATCACAACTTTGTCTATAAATATATTAAGACATAAAATTGTGGGTTTGAGTAAAATACCATCTTCTCTCCCAAAAAAACCTTTATAGCAACTCAAGTATGAAATGTGTTTATCGCTGGAAATCACATGTGAATTATTACAGAAACAACTTCAGATGTAGAGGGCTGGTAATAAGCCTCTAATTTTATTAAATAAAAATATAATCATCAGCAATGAGGCACTTATGGAATTACTATTAAAGTACAAATTCCACAAGTAAAAAAATCTCTAATATCAATCAATTGCCTGGTTTTCTCTTAAGATTGAACTAAGTTCTATGACTAAGAGTGATCGTAAGAACTAAAGTGATTCTTTCATTGTGCTTCACATTATTTAGAAGAATTACAAAACTTATTTTGCCCTATATGATTACACAAGAAATGGTAAAGAAAGCCACGTAAAGGTACAATTGAGCATGTAAGTTATTTTCTCATACTAGCAAATGATTGTCAGACTAGGGATACCTGAGAGAAAGGTTACCTATTCCTTAAATGATATTACTGCTAAATAGGGATTCTCAATTTTTATACAGTGAGCTTTAATTACTTGTATGAATTGAACCACAGATAATCCTACCCTAAATGAAGGGTATGGGATTTGAATTATTAATTTTCGCTTTGGAATGTAGGTTCAAATAGTTTTAAAAAGATTTATTTATTTATTTGAGAGACAGAGAGCGTGAGCATGAGTGGGGGGAGGGGCAGAAGGAGGGAATCTTCAAGCAGACTCTGCACTGAGTGTGGAGCCCAATGCAGGGCTCGATCCCCTGACCTGAGCAGAAACCACGAGTCGGTCGCTTAACCGACTGAGTCACCCAGGCATCCCTACAGGTTTGATTTTTAAATAATATACATTTGTGCACACTTCAAAAGTGTTCTCATATGTACTATACCACCTGATGCTATGATAACTGGTTAGCAGGATCTAGAGTTACTATATCTATTTTGCTGATGAGAAAACAAGACTTACAGAGATAAAGTAAGCAGGATCTAGAGTTACTATATCTATTTTGCTGATGAGAAAACAAGACTTACAGAGATAAAGTAAATTGTCCAAGTATCTTGCCTGATGACAGATATAGCAGTAGAGTCCTTATCTTTTACTTTGAATGCAGTGTTCTTCCTTTTGTATCATCATTTCCATACCTGATGTTTGTCTTCAGACAAAAATAAAAATTATGATGTCGTCCAGTTAAATTTCATCTTTGGAGGTTCACGTAGGTTGAATGATGGCTACCAAAGATATCCTGTGCTAAAGCCTGGAACTTGTACCTGTTACCTTACAAGGAATAAAGGTCTCTACAGGTGTGGTCAACTTCAGGATCTTGAGATGGGGAAATACTTCTGCATTACCCAGGTGGAACCTAAATCCAATCACAAGTGTCTTATATAAGATGGTTATAAGAGAGAGGCAGAGAGAGATGACACAGAAGAGTAGAAGATAGAGACACAGAGGAGAAGGGAATGTAACCAGAAAGTCAGAGATTAGAGTGATGTGGCCACAAGCCAAGGAATACCAACAGCCAGCAAAAGTTGGAAGAGGGGCAAGGAGCAGAGTCTTCTCTGGAGCCTTCCAAGGGATGGTGGTCATGCAAACATCTAGATTTCAGACCAGCTAAATTGGTGTTGAACTTTGGCCTCTAGGACTTTCTCAGGAGAGAATGGTGAAAATGTTAGGGTTTCCAAGAACACCTCTAGTTCTCTTCTCTGAAAATTAATAGGGAATGTTTACAAATCTTTAAAAGAAATATTTAAATGAAGATGTTGTTAATTCATATAAAAACAATCTTGTCACTGACAAGCTGAAATATACTGTATCCACCTAAGAAAAACTGAGAGCTTATTGTGTATTTATTGGAATGACAAAACCTCAGAATATAATAGTAAATAATTTTTTTTCCTTTATAGGAAATATATTGGAGCTATCATGTCTGGAAGTGTGTTTGCAACCTAATTTCAACTATTCACTCCGCTCTTTAAATTTTTCTTTTGTGACTTTTCTGAAACCAGTAAGAGAATCTCAGACTATTATGGGCATCTTTCTAAATCACTCCAACTTTCAAAACTTCACCAGGATTTGCCAAGGCATCACAAGTGAATTGAAAATGTGCTCCTCATGTTTAGCTTGTGAGTCCAAAAAAAGTCTGGATTTTATTTCTCAGGAACAAACATCAAAAGGTAAATGTAAAGTGATAATAAAGTTTATCAAGAATAAATTACCTTAGTCTGTTAAAAAAGTAATAATATATTCCAATTTAAAATCCAAAGGTATCAAAACCCTCAGCAAGTGTGGCTTTTGATGAGTGACTTGTAGGGCTTTGGGATATTACTTATTCTTGGTTTACTTTATCAAAAAAAAATATCTGCTTTTGAAATACATCAAAATGCCACCATAATTTATGTACATTCGATGGTTAAAGGAGTAGTTAGCAAGCTCTCTTCAAAGGTATTGAATTTTTAAAAAGTAAAAAAGTAAAATCAAAGTTGGATTTTCCAAGAAATCACTGAATTTTTGACACATTTGTACCTTCTCCTGCCTAACATGTATCCACTGTATTTGAATTGCCTTTTTGCTTGTCTAAATGTCCGCTCAATGTTGGGGACTTTGTCTTTGTTCACCATATTTCTAGATCTTAGCATAATGCCTGACATCAGGCACTCAATATATATTTCTTTAATGAATAAACAAATGAAAGAATAACTATGTATTATGTGTAATGTGTAACTGAATCTTGCATCTATTTTGAGATCAATATATATTATTTAATTAAATCAAATCAACTTGCATCATTGAGAAATTAAATAACTCATTTGTAGTCAGAAAATACACTAGTGGCCTCAGGCCCAAGCATCAGATTTATTATTTATAACCCGTTCGGTGAGATTGCTTCCTGTATCACACCATATTGGCATCTTTCCCCATTCTTTCAGAATGGGAATGAGATTTCTTGGCATTGACTTTGGATGAAATATAAAAGATCTATCTTTTTCTGGGTTCTTACTTAAGTAGTGCTGTAGCTGTTGCAGGGTTCTGGGTCAAATTCACCAGAAAGCAAGTTGGGGAAATACCTTTATGGTGCTAGAGAACTAGGAAGTGTTTTAAGGCTTGGTAACTCCAGATGCTATTTCTCTGCCTCCTGGAAATGTAGGATAGTGCATTGATAAGTTATGTCTGTTACTATGTCTGTGTAACATACTACCTTGAAACTCAATGGCTTAAAACAATGGCAAACATTTCATTCTTTTTTTCCCTTTCCTTGTGTTCTTTCTGCCCTCCGCCCCTCCTCTTCCTCCTCCTCCATCTCCTTCTTCTCTGGCTGGCCAGGACTTCGGAATGGGCGTAATGGGGGCATTTCTGGCTTGGAGCATTATAACCTGTCCCACAGATCATCAGGGAAATGTCTATATTTTCTTTGAGATGCTCCAATTCTATTTCAACCCCACTCTTATCTGGTTTTCACAATCTTAAAAAAATGTAGGCACTTTGATCGTTATTTTTAGTGCAGTGAACTTATTTTGACTTTTTTTTTGTAGAGGAAGGATGGTATTTAGTTTTGAGTGGTGTGTGGTTTCTTACTACGCATTACTATTTTGCAAGTAACATTTTCTTAATCTCTTTCTAGTTCTTATCATGAAAGGATCAACGGAAGTGAAGGCAAATGATTTTCGTTCACCTTGTCAACATTTTAACTTCACTGTAGCTCCTATAGTTGATCCCTTGGAAGAATATAACATTACTTGTAATCTAAAAACCCACATGAGAAGGCCAGCAATCATGGAGGAAGATTCACCCAAGGAAAAGTCTATGAACCACACTTGTAGGACTATGGAATACCTGAATAATTGTACACATCTTTCCTTGCACCTAGAAATGGATGTCAAAAGTAAGTATTTAAGGAAGTTAGAGGAAAAAGAGAATTGGAAACAAAGTTAAATAAAGGCTAACACATTAACTTCATTAAAAGTTAAATATTTGAAAAATTTTGTTGTTGCAATAATATGACTGGGAAGAACGCTAGTCCTTTTATCTGTTCATTTTTTCTTTCAAAATCTGCTTTTCCTGAGGTCTAGCTGGACTCAGAAGCAGAGGAGGCATCTGTGGGTTGTGATTTGAGGGACACTAGAAAGACCTCAGAGTAACTTTGGACATGCCTATTAGCTGTGCTTGAAGCAACACTACCACACCTGGGTATTAAAGGCTGAAATTTATTTTTAAATATAAATATCCATGTACATTGTGACGGGCTATTAAAATCATATTTTGAATTGACTTATATCTTCTCCTAGAGTCAAGAACCAGGACTGAATAAAATGGGATTTTTGATAGAAAGTCATGGAGATAGGCAGGGTGCCGATGAGGCACTTTGGGTCACTGGATAGGTCTGAGGGAAAGGTAGGCATCCAAAAGATCAAAATCACATCTATCTTACTTCTAAAGCTTATTAGCTTCCTCGACACCCTCTTCGGAATTACCACGGTTGATCCTTTCTACTAAGTGGTGTGCCCCACTTTACCTAGAAAGTCTATTTTGGAAGAGTATTTTATGATATAACCACTTAATCCGTGCCTACTGTATGCCAAGCAACATGCTAGCATCAGGGATCCAAAAACAGATGAATGTAAAACAATTGAGCATGTGCATCTGGTGTTAACACGTGCAATGGTAGAGTCAGTTGCTGGGCTTTGGGATCTTCCAGACATATGGAAACCTTTCCTATTGCCTTAGAATGCTTTTTTTTTTTTTTTAAAGCTTTACTTTTTTTAAAGGTAATTATTTAAAAAATATTATAATTTCAAGCAAATACAACCAAATAATATGTATGCATTTTTACAGTAAAATAGAAGGCTTCAAAGGAATTTCACTTGTGAGTCAGTCTTCAGGGCCCCACGGTCTCTGCAATTAAGGGTTATTTCAAGGTTGTGTGTATGTGTGTTGGGTATGGGAGAGGATCTGAGAAGATCTGAACAGAGAGGTCAATTCCCTTGGGCTCAGGAGTGAGTTGGAAGGTAGACTTTGGAAGGATGGCATAGAGAAGGTGACGGCGATGAAGTCTGGAAGGTAAAGTGGGTTGGATTATAAATATTAAGATCATATTTATTTCCACACATCCATCTAATTGCTTTTTATGTTTTCTAAAACATAAAGGAAAAAGAAGCATTTCCAGAATTATGATTTTCAGAGAATTTTTTGGGTCAAGAAAAAAAATCCGTACGTGCTGGTCAAAGTGAAATAGTAGTTAACAACTTCCTTGGGTCCATAATTCAGAAAGATCACAGTGACACACACATATATAGTCTTGTATTCTAGAAAAATTATATTCATTTGCCACATGTAGAAGATTTAAAATTTCCTTATATTTTACTCGGCTGGGCAGAGACTAAGTCGATCTCCCTTAAAAGCCCTGTCTAGCAGGGGGTGAAAGTAAATTTAGTCCAATCTGGTAAATTTACTCTGGAACAGTAATTTAAATTGTCTCTTCAGATTTTTTTTTTTCAGATTCCTGTCTGTTCTCCCTTGCTCCTCTCCAAGATGACTGCCGGGATGGGGGGTAGGTGGGCAGCTGGGCTGTGGGGACACATACTCTTCTGCTTTTGCACTGGTGCTTGGGTGGGTGTTCTGGCTGGCCTGACCCCAGCTGTGCACATTCTGCTGTTGCTATATAAAGTTGGTGAGTGCATGGCTCTTTTTTCATAGCTTGATCATCAGTGCCCAATGACACCTTGGTCATTGGGCCCACTGTGGCTCTTGCTGGCACTCTAAATCTTCTATTCCAGTTAACGAACTGCATACTTTTAATTTGCTGAGCGAGGAATGCAAGTTTGCAGCTGAGTGGCATGGGATGATTTTGGGAAGGCTGAGTGCTGCCATCCCAGTCAACTTTTACCTTTTCTGCATTCTGCCTCTTTTCTAAGTAAATGTTGGATGGCTATATAATGTACATCTGCCCATGGGGGTGGGTCCCTGTGAAAGGGGTACCCAGATGATGAACCTCACAAGGGCAATAATCCAAGGGTATAAGCAAGTTATATATCCTGCTAACTTTGAGAAAGTGCTGTGTTTTGTGTACAAGGAAGAGGGTACATAGGGTGGCTTGGGAAGACAGTAGACAGTTATGTCTTGGACATGATGAGGTCACCTTCCATTATGTCACTGATTCCTAGGTCTGCTGGCCACTGTATCTTTATGGGAGCAAAGGAGATGGTGCTAGACGATTGCTGGATGGGGACTATCCTTCCCATGTGCCTCACTGTCATTTGAATGAACAAGTTTTTACCTAGGGTTACTGTGTGTTTAATGAATGTGTGCACGTGATCTGATCCTTGCAGTGAGGGTCTGTGCAGAAAGGGGTTCTGAGTATTCATCTGCATTGGCCTTTTATATGGCTCAGTCCAACCTTTTCTCTTTGTATGTCTTTTTTCTTTCCTCTCCATCTTCCTTACACTCTTATCTCTTTGTCGATTTGAGGGCATAATTTTTGACTGTGTGGCCCAGGGCCACCGTTGTTATTTACAAATGGCCCTGATTCTGAGACTCAGCTTGTTGTAATCTGAGCTTAGTGATAGCAACCACAAGGAAACTAACACCTACATGACCTATAAGTGAAATTAATCCTAGAGTCTTGGGATCAAAGGGATCCCTGGAAGATCCCTGGTCAAATTTCTTCATTTAATACACTCACTTAACATATCAGGGAAGAAATCAGGAGGGCAAACGACACTATACCAGGGATGATTATATGTGGAGTTTTCGGTTAAGGCCAAAATATGTAGTAGAACACCACCACATCACCATATGGCTTCTCTCTGTTGCATCATTTTATTGTATTTTTATAGTGTTTTTTTCTTTGCAGATTTCACTTGTTCCATGAAGATCACTTGGTATGTTTTAGTTCTAGTCGTTTTTATATTTTTTCTCATCCTCACTCTCCACAAAATACTTGAAAGCCACAGAAGAATGTGGAAATGGCGGAGTAAGTATTGAGGAATAAATCCATTGCTTGGGACAGTCCAGTTAGGATCTTCTCTATAGATGTACGTTCTTTTTCAATTTCAATTTATCATTTATTGAGCACCTACTGTGTGTAAGTGGCAGTTCTAGGTAACCCGGGGAATATAAGCATAAGTGGGACACAGTGTCAGCATTCAAGGAGGTTCATGTGTTTTTGTCTACTTAGACAAGCGAATAGCAGGGGAGGCGGGGCAAGGAGCTGAAGGGGGCTGGAGGTTGAGCAGAGGCTTAGTGGAAGTGAAGGGAGAAGAGAGGTAGAAGAATAGGGTGGTGATCAAGAATTTCAGAGTGGGAGATCATGAGCAGAGTGGCTCTAAGTGATGAATGGGAGGAGTCAATCTTTAATAGGTGTAAGGGTGTCAGTAGATTTTTGGCGGGGTGGAGCTATAATGTATAATTGGAAATCAGGCAATGGGGGTGATATTAAAAATATTGAGTATGACCCAGGCATCCACCTATCAGGATGGACATTGACTTATGGCCCTAGTGGTGTGTACCCACGCATATACCAACCCCTCTGGTGTGTAACCCATGCATATACTGGCTGAACATCAAACCTGAGGAAGAGGGGGGAGGGGTAGAGGGCGAGGGAGAGAGAGAATCTTGAGCAGACTCCACGCCCAACACAGAGCCCCACACGGGGCTCCATCTCATGACACTGAGATCTCAGACCTGAGCCAAAATCAAGAGTCGGACACTTAACCGACTAAGCCACCCAAACGCCCCTGTTGCAGGTATTTCTAAGAGCAGTTTCATATCAAGTCTTGCCATTGATACCTTAGAATATAAGGCTAATATATAATAACATCATCAATATTATATATTTGTAGAAGAGCCATTTTCAGAGTGTTTTCACAAGGTTTTTTTTTTTTTAATTAGATTCTCCAAGTACTTAAACAGGGTGTGTACTATTATTTTCACTTATAGATGGAAAAAACCCCTGAGCCATAGAGAGATTAAGTGGTTTTTCCAAAGTTATATAGCTAACAAAAGGTCAGAGTCAAGACCTAGGGTCTTTCTAGTTTTAAAAATTATATTAGTTTAAATAAAAATGTTATTTGCAAATGTTGCACATTTTTTAGTTTCTTCATCCATTTTTCCATATAACTGCATGTGAGGAAAGAGAGACAGAAGCCAGTTAGAAAAAACCATCTAGAGGGGCACCTGGGTGGTTAAGTGGCTGCCTTCGGCTCAGGTCATGATCCCAGGGTCCTGGGATCGAGCCCCGCATCGGGCTCCCTGCTCAGCAGAGCCTGCTTCTCCCTTTCCCTCTGCCTGCCGCTCTGCCTACTTGTGCTCTCTATCTCTTTGTCAAATAAATAAATAAAAAATATCTTTAAAAAATAAAAAGAAAAAACCATCTAGAAAGCAATAGTGGAGAGTGAACATTTTATGAACATCCACCCAAATGACAGGCTTAGTGGCTTTTGAAGGCTTGCCTTACAAATCCAAGCGTATAAAGTAATGAAACATGTCACACTATTTAGGACATTAAATATTATTAAATATTAAATATGCATTAAATATTCTGTATATGTCTATGTATATTAATGTAAGCAATATAATATTCTATACATAAGAGCTGGTGCTTCTCATTAGGGGAGACAGCATGATAGCATTTAGGGTAGTGGAGAAACCACTTGTTTTAGAAAGATCCTGTGTTTGCTCATGGAAAATAACTTCATGAGGAAAGCCCTTAATGTCTTGTTACTTCTGGCCCTGTTGTGAATGGCCCATTTTCCTTGGTAATCCTTGGAATCAACATGGGGAATATATATTAAGAATGTGCTTTTTATCATTTAAATATTTCATTTCTTTTCTTGGAATAGGTCATAAATACAAACCTACCTCTGCTCTCTCTCTTTTTTTTTTTAAGATTTTATTTATTTATTCATGAGAGACAGAGAGAGAGAGAGAGAGGCAGAGAGAGAAGCAGGCTCCCAAGGAGCAGGGAGCCCGATGCGGGACTTGATCCCAGGACCCTGGGATAATGACCTGAGCCCAAGGCAGACGCTTAACCATCTGAGCCACCCAGGCGCCCCTACCTCTGCTCTTTTAAGAGGACAGGATTCCGAGGAACTGCGAACATTGAATGTGCGGGTTATTTCAGGTGAGTTTTGTGACGTGCCAACAGAGCACGGCTTTGAGAATCCCAGTCCTTCACCGTTTTCACTATAGACCCAAGATCGAATGATCTAAGCTCATTTAAATTAGCCTTGTATCTGGAAGAAAGGATCTGTGGGCAAATGAAATCTAGTTTAATATGTCTTATTATCAGGGGACAGTTACGATCAAAACTAGCTCCTTAAATAATGGAAAGTTTGCCTAATTGGCAAGAAGAAATTCATGTGAGTAGGCAGAGGAGAGAAAGCAATAAGGAAGAACCCTCAGATTTATTTTTAAATGAGACAAGATACCATTATTCCTCGGAATTGCAAGAAGTAATTGCAGAGTGGGCATGGCTTTTTTGCTGGAGCTTTCACTTAGCAAAGGGTGTCATTGTGTAACGAGAACTTCTAATAGCCCCAATTAAAAAGTCCCCTGTCCTCTCCCGAGAAACAGAAATGGAGGAAGGGAACCCTAATTAGAGCAGCTAAGGGAGCTGTTAGCACAGACGCTGTGGTTCGATCTCCTAATTGCAAAGCCTCCTTCTGAATTCAAGCTGTCAAATCATATTAAAAAGGAAGAGAGGGAGATTGGGACGCGGGCAAAGTGCTCTTCTTCATCAGGACGATGTCATCTCCTCGACTCTGCAAACCGCGGCATGATGAGTGATGCTTCTACAGCTCCTTGCGTCCAGCTGGTGAGCAGGCTCCTTCAGACTTTGTGAGACGTCAGATAAGGAGGCTTCAGGTCTGGTGTCTAAATGGTTTTCAAAAATGCAAGGACGGTGAACCAAGCCCGAGGCGCCCCCAACAACTGTATTGTAGCCACATGCAGATCGGCACACCGTTTCACTGGGAACTCTGCTCCCAAGGCTTTTCTTATCTATTTAAATTAGCAGGGACTCAGACCCCTAGCTTGAGGAAAAATGGGATTGCGTGCACCTGAAGGACTCAATTTTAAAAAAATTCGGACTTTCTGTTCTCCGCGTTAGCAGTATTCACTGATGGCTAATAATAAGCAGTAGCTGAGTGATCATTTGATACCAGCTAAATGTGGAGAACGTTGATGGAAGTTTTGTGTGGTCAGTGACAGTTTTGTTTGATTAATGGCATTAAAATCAGAAGGTTGTTTCCAATGCCCAAATTCATCTTTATAGGGAGAAAACGGCATTTCCCCTGTTCTTCCCTCTTACGTGGGCCCCAGGCCTGACATCCATGCACCGGGAATGTTTCAACCTAGTTCTGCTGAGCCTTTTCAGTGGCCTCGGGAATCCTGATCCTTGCTCTTTTCAAGACATAATTTTGAGCACTGCAGCTTTGAGAAAAAGTCCATAGTCCCCCTGTCAACTCATATAATCGGGGGAATCACAAATTTAAAGTACTGGTTAACCACAAGACTAACCTCACAAGTTGTATTTATGAGCCTTTGATTTTCATTCACCAGAGGAAACGGACTCGGCCATTAACCTAGATGCAATCCCCCCCCCCCCTCCTATTATAAGTTGCTCTTTCTGAGAGAGAAATGGGAAAGAAATAATGTCTCCCTCAAGTGCCGTTTTTAAGGCCTCTCTTTGTCATGATCGATTATAGGCCGCAGTGAGAACGTAAGGAGAAAACGCGCCAGCATGGTCCTCTGGCGGAGCAGTAACACGAGTACAAAACACGGTTCAAAGGGAGCAGTGACTACAGTCCCATTCAGCAAAGCAGCTTGCTATTGTCTCAAGCTGTACGTTCCAGAATGTCCCTCAGGTTGTTCATGTATTACAAAGGAAGTGTTGTTACACACGTTCACGTGGAGGTAGACAGGCTCACACCCTCAAAAGGACGAGAGAGAAATAAAGCGAGATGACCCAGACCCGGGCCCCATGTCTCAGATCACAGCGAACATGGGCAGAGTAAGGCATCTCCTCCCTGCAGAAAGCAGTGTCACAAAGAATCAAATCCCAAGCTTTAACAGGACTCCAGTATTTTCTTCCTTGCTTTGAGAAGCGTGCTGGCTTCTGTTGCCTGTCTTGGCATGAATCTACTTTACGTTTTATTCAGTCGACTGTTATCTTCACACAGGTGATGATTCTCTTATTCAGCTTTGGATCCTGGTCCCCAGCATAATTTCTGGCACATAGTTTGTGCACAAAAGCTTGTTAAATCACACAAAGCCTAAGGGGAAATGAGGATAGAGTCAAAAAGAGCAGATGAGCAAGGAATTTATCTTGGGGTTTGGGAAAGATGAAAACAAACAGCCAGAGAGTGATCAGAGGGCACATAACTGGACTTCATTAAAGAATATATAACTCTACAGAGTTGCCAAGGACGTCAAAGAATCATGGAATACATCGGCCATCTTGAAGAAGAGATTTGGAGAACTATGCAAAAGGCAATTTGAAATGTATCCCTGGAAACAGTGTTTGAAGGGTTGGTCACGCTGGGAGACCAAAGTCAGGGGCAGGAGCAGTGAACTAGGACCCCAATCGCTGGATACAAACAAGAGCAATCAACTTGGCTGGCTTGGCCGAGAGGAAACCTATTGGAAAACTGGCAGGTAACCCGTAGAAACACCAGGAAGGTTAAGCATTCAGAGGTTGGAAAATGAACAGGAGTTAAAGGGGGCCAGGCAGCCAAGAGTACAGCCAAAGTCACCATGGGAATGGTCTGGTGGTGTCACCACCGCTGGACATTCCTCTGAGCTTCCAGAGCTACACCCTTTGACCTTCCAGCTTTGCATCACTGTCCAGGATGGCGAGCCCCAAGGAAGGGTATCTGGCTGACTGAGGGCAGGCCACAGGTTGGTACTCTGGGTGCCAGGAAGCAGGGAGAGGGAATATCTACCCCTCTGGCTTCCTGCATCTTTGAGAGCACCCCAGAGATGGCCTCATGTTGGAGAGCCAATAACTAAATATCTAGGACGCCAAGTATCCAGGACTAGAGCTTCCACTGACTCCTGGTGCTTGGGTCAGTGAAGGGGCTCCTTTCATCTCTCCCCTCTATGTCCACTAAACATGGTGAAATCTTGAAAACTTGAAATTCTTCACCTTCAACTACTCAACCAAAATCTGTTGAACCCCAACTCAGGATCAGGCCTTATGCTCCTAAGCACTGATAAGACAGTGGCCCAGACCAGCACAGTCTCTGCTTTCACGGAGCTGATGTCCCCGTTAGGGAGATTCTCACCCCGCCCCCATTGCCTTAGAAGAAGGGAAACCTAATTAAACTATACACATTCATTAGGCGACTTTCATAGACAACATTTTATCTCATTTCACAAGAATCTCGCTTTTTTCCTGATGCCAAAACCTGGAACTAAGAGAGTTTAAGTAATTGACCCACAGCCTGTTCCTGGCCGAGTCGGGTTCAAACTCAGGTCTGTCCAGTGGGCTTTCTGGCAAAGCGCTTACGGGCTGTGGTGAACTGGGGAATTTACTCGTGCTGGTTCAAGCCACAGATCAAAACTCACCCTGTTCTTTTACAGTTAACACTGGAAACCGAGATGAAACATTTTCTCTACGCTGTAGAAGGTTGTAGGAGCTTGTGTGTGACAGTGTGAGTCACCCTCAGAGTGACATTTAGCATTAGTGAAATATTTTTTGCAGTTAATGTGGGTAGGTTCTTAGGGACCGCGAAGGAAAGAAAATGGATATTTATTGTGAAAGAGAATTACTAAATGCCAAAAGGAAGTGGATGACCCAGTAATTTGTATTACCCCAAAATATAACTAATGGCAATGTAAAATTATAATTTGCAACATGTTTACGGCCAGCATAATGAGGACTAAGCCGGTTTCAATTTTCAGCAGGAGAAGATAAATTGCCCGTGCCAGATGTCCCACAACCAGGCAAAATAACATGGAAATTTAATTTTTACTTGCTTAACTATAATATTTATGACTCAGAGTACAGATTTGGGTTCATAAAACAGTAAAGGTTGGAGCCATCTGCTTGATTACAGAACAGAGCAGAATGCAGAGGGTGACTTTTTTTTTTTTTAAGATTTTTTATTTATTTATTTGACAGAGAGAGAGAGACAGCGAGAGAGGGAACACAAGCAGGGGGAGCGGGAGAGGGAGAAGCAGGCTCCTGGCTGAGCAGGGAGCCCGATGCGGGGCTCAATTCTAGGACCTTGGGATCATGACCTGAGCCGAAGGCAGATGCTTAATGACCGAGCCACCCAGGCATCCCTGCAGAGGGTGACTCTTGATGCAGGAAGAATTTCTTAAGTGTGAAGAAGAATCTATAGGCAGAATATGATGATTTGTTCTAACTCATCCATTGAATGCCATTATGCGATAGCCTTTTGTGCTAGGTCTGGAAGACCTGATGATAAAACATATACAGATCAACATCTTCTCCAATCTTTGTGCAGATTCTCCCCACATGGAGCATCCTGCCTCCCATACCCCTCCCTGCAGACCTGCCCTCCTCCTACCCTGCCTTTGTCTAGTTCACCCCAAGCCTTGCTTCTGATCTTAGCTTGACTGACCCTTCCTCAGGGAAGTCATATTGGACCTCCTAGACTAGGTCAATCCCCTTCTCACACATCCTCAGAACACCACACAGCTCTCTCTGTGCCAATTGTCACTACTGTTATATATTATATATGTGTGTTATTATTGGATTGACGTGGCTCCCATGAGCCACTGAGCCCCTGGAGATCAGGGACTCTGCCTGATAATATTCATCACCACATCCCCAGCTCGTAGTGCAGTGCAGATGAGGGCACAGAGTAGGTACCTAATAAATATTTGTGAAGTAAATACACCTCTACATGGACTATGCAGAAAGAATGCCTGCTGCTGTCTTACAAAGACCCTTCAAAACCTTCCCCCCCAACCCAATTATAACTTTTAAACTCTTCATCAGCTTCATTCCTTGGAGTGCTAAGGATAGCCGCAGTGTGAATGAGCTGGGAGCTGAGACAAGGGCTCAGAAAACTGGCAGCTGTCTGTTCTCTTTAGTTGTTAATTCTAGGTAATTTTGCAGTCATGTACTTTCCCACCCTCATCTGATTTTCACACTGGCCAGATTTGGAACAGCTGAATGGTTTTAGGATCACTGTTAACGATAACAGATGGAGCTCTGAACGTAGTAGAAAGTTGGCTCCTTGAATAATGGAAATCTATTTTAAGCTACCATAATTGGTTCTATTAGCCCCAAAAAGCAACTAGCTATCTTGGGCTTGCACAAAACGGCCCAGGTTTTTATGTGATGCAAAGGTCAGAATGATGAATAGCAATGTTGAAGTTCTGCATTCCTAGGGCAATAAGAAGAACTAGGTCTACGGCCATCCCACCCTGAACGCACCCGATCTCGTCTGGTCTCGGAAGCTAAGCAGGGTCGGGCCTGGTTAGTACTTGGATGGGAGAAGAAATAGGACTGGAAGGGTTTTTTGGAGCCAGATTAGAGAACTGACTAAGAATCACCAAACCATTTGAAAACGTCCGCATCCACTTTGACTATAGTAATCTGTGAAGATTAACGTGAATTCCTTCATCTCTGGAAAAGCTCTTATAAGGAGAGCAAGTACTTTGTGGGCAACAGTATAGACATTATTGCTATTGTCACCACGGAATCATGGCTGAACCTCCCAAAGTACAGGGAAGGGAAGGAAGTGCTGAGGTCCCCACTTCCAAGGTCAGCCATCCATAGCCCCCCCTTGCTGAGCGCATATTTGGGTCCTACCCAATTTCGAGAAGGCCCCTCAGGTGGGCTTGAAAAGGCGCTTGGAAAAATACTCTGTTTTGCACTTGGTGGTGTGGAAAGTACATCAAAATACACCTTAATTACCTCATTTACCCTTACCTTTAGTTTCTTCCTTGTAGCTTCAAGGCAGCCACACGGGCTTTGCTAAAGTCACGAAGAAGTTCAGGCATCAGTACACACTGCTGAACCTTTAAGGAGAAGGCGCAGGGCGAGGGCCCTGGGGGGGGGGGGGGGGGGGGGGTGCTGCCTGGCTGCTCCACCCGCAAGGCAAGGCAACACAGGGGCCTCACGTTGGTGAATATACCTGGTCTGAAGCCTTCCTTCAGGCCTGCGGGCTCAGCCTCCTGCAATGGCGGCCCACCAAAAAAGATCCACTGTGTGATCCAGCTCACAAAACAGGTTTATAAGAGCAGAAGGCAATACAGTTGAGAGAAAATATGGGCCAAAACACTTCTGACAACTAACACGTGTGCCCTCTCTGCTTAGACAAAACCATGTGGGAAGTTGAATCACCGCCAAGGCTTGTTTGGGAGGTCTTAAAGGTAGAGCCCTTTGCCAACACAGTTTGAAAGGCCTTCCTCCCCATTTTAGGGGTAGCCTGATTGGCTCATTTAACACAGCACTTTTCACACTTAATAGGCTTTGGCTTGGGAATGATTTCTGAAGATAACTTTGCACATTTCTGTTGTGATTATGAGTTGATTTTATAGACCAACTCTCAGAGGACAATCTTATTTTTCTTATTCCCAACTTCCTAGGTGGCACCCCAGAGTTGACTTCTTGCCCTGCTTGTACCCACACATTTTTATTAAGGAAGATGAGGCACAAAGAAGTTAGATGGCATTCTTTCAGTCATTCAACACATATTTTTCCCTATCATGTGTCATGCTCCAAGGTTGGTTCTGGGGAATATAGTGCATAAAATACAGTCTTTGTACACGAGGAGGCAGACAGTAAGCAATTACAACAAAATTGGGTAAATTCACCGTTGGGATTATATATAGTATGGGTATCTAGCCCTGTTTACCACTCCTTGTTCTGTTTTTGTTTCTAGCTATTTTAACTTTCCAATTTCATAACCAAGTAGAGCTGAACAAGTAGTTTTGGAAATACAAATATAAAAAATTGATGGGGCAAATTCTCTAAGCAGCCAAGAGATCCTGGCTAGGATGAAGAGGTTTTAGATGTACCTTCACTGTGGGAGGTGCACCTTGTCTTTGACATGAAAATCATCAGGAACAAAGTGAAGAAAACACCTTGCAAGTTTCCATGACTCAGTGGGAATCAAGAATTACTTTGGAAGGATGAATTGAGGTTAGATGCCAGATGTCATAGATAAAAAACACTTTTGAAAAATGACAGAGATCTAGAAAAAAAAAAGAAGAAAAAGAAAAGGAAATATCAGAGGGCAACCTGGACGATGTCATGGGCATTGTGACAGGGGTTTATTCAAGAACATGCGGCATGGAGTCTTATTTTTAATCAAAGTTTCTACTGCTGGAAATTCATTTTGTTCTTTAGATTCAGCCAGGTCAAAACTCATCCTGAGGTTCTTTTTAATTTTTTAGGCTTTTCTGAGGTTCTTGAAAAAAAGTCAAAGAAATGTTTGGTTCAGACCTTTGACAAATTCATGAATAGACTTCTGTGAAGTTTTAAAATATTCCTGGCTGCTTCTGCTGCCTTAACTAGTGTTGGTAAATTAATATTATTTGAAAGAAATTCTGTTTCCCAGTGTAAAACTAGAAAAATATCCCACCCATCTTAGCTCTTCTGAATAAGGCATTAAAATGACATATATCCTACCTTTTTGCCTTTTTATCAATTTTTCAGAAGTTTTCCTAGTAGCATATAAGTTACATGTCCTTGGATACTAGGAGAAACAGAATATAATGCACCACTAGATAGTTATTTTGGACTAACCATCACTTTGACAGATAATAGCTTTCTGTAGTAAATTATGGTTATACCCTATTATAAAACATCAGCAAACCAAATGAATAAGCAAATGATGAGCGGTTTAGCTTTCCAAGCAAAAGAGCTCTGTTAATTTTCTTTGGTAATTATTTAATTTCATGAATAGGCTCTTTTGGTATTTTAACTTTAAAAAAACTGTCTCCAAATCTCAAATTCTGGACATGATAAGATACTTTGTCAAAGATTGTCCAAGCAATTATCTGCATGGTAAGTTCATTCTGAAGGCTTAATATGCATCAGAATCAACTTGGATGTCTGTACAATTTCAGGCTCCTGGACCATTTTGAAGGGAGATTATAATTCAGTAGATTTGGGACAGGGTTCTAGAACCTGCATTTTAAATTCAGCTTCTTGTGGTTTGCAGGCCAAAGTGATCCGTTGATCACTTTATTTGTTTTCTATTGTTGTGTGACAAATTACCACAAATTTCATGGCTTAAAACACACCTTTGTTATTTCACTTTCTGTGGGTCAGAAATCTGGGCATGGCTTTGCTGGATCTCAGGGTCTCACAAGGCTAAAATCAAGATGCGAGCTGGCCTATGTTCTTATATGGAGGCTCTACTCCCAAGCTCATTTAGGTTGTTGGCAGAATTCATTTCTTTGTGGTTGTATACTGAGGGCCCTGGGTTCTCACCGCCTGTCTGCCAGAAACTGCCTCAGGACCTAGAGGCCACCTGTAGACTTCTGCTACCTGGCCTTTCTAGAGACACTTCACGGCTCGGCAGTTTGCTTCTTGAAGTCCCACAAGAGAGCCTCACTAACTTCCGGGAGGGCCCAGCCTTTTTTGTAAAGGCTTTTACCTCATTAGGTCAGGCACACCCAGAATGGTCTCTCTTTTCAATAACTCAATACACCCGCAAAAATCTCATCTTTGCCATATAATGTAATCCAATCACAGGAGGGAAATCCCATTCATGGTCCTGCCCATGCTCAAGGGATGGGAATTACAAGGGGCATTCCACCAGGGGGTGGGAAGCTGGGGGGCTGTCTTAGAGTTCTGCCTACCACACCCACCCTCTGAGAAGCACAGATTTAGGAAGACAGAATCACAGCTTCCTAGGAACTTTCAGTGTGAGACAAATAGGGATGAGGGAACTAGCCCCGTGGATGTGGTTTGTACTTACTGACAATAAGGTAAAAATAAAGGATGCTAAGGGGATCCAGTGAAATGGGTCTGTGAGGAGGAGAACAAGGAGATGAGAGCTTTGTGTCCAGGTAAAGACTGGTCTCATTTTCTCACCTTTGTCCTAACCAGTCAGGAAAGCTCTGTCACTTACCGTTTAGAAGGCCAAATACTCTGTAAGAAGAAATTCTAGCTTTGGTGGTTATTTTAGCATTTCCATAGGAATGGAAGGGTCTTCAATGTCTGTGGAAATGGTCCCCAAAGGGCATCTATTCCTGTTCCTTAAAGAGCACTTGCTACTTTTTAACATCTCTAATTAAGATGGATAATTTTCTGGAAAAATTGACAAAACCTGATACCAGAAGAAATAGAAAATCTAAACAAAACAATTATCATAGAAGAAATAGAAAATTTGTCAGTTATCCCTGAAAAAGTAACAGAAAGAACAGTTCACAGGGGAATTTTGACCAGTCTCTACAACACTGATATTTCCAATTGTATTTAAACTGTTATTGACCATAGAAAAGAAGGATGTTTCTTAATTCTATTGTGAAATAAACATTAATAACATATAAAGCTAAGAAAGATTGTGTCTAAAATGAAATCATTGAGCAATCTTACTCATGTATATCTATGCAAAAATTCTGAACAAATATTAGCAAAAGAATCCACTAGTATCACAGTATAAAAACATATATATATATATATATATACACATACATATACACACTCCTACTATGACCAAGAAGAGCTTATTCCAAGAATATAGGGACAGTTCTCCGTTAGGAGATATCTATTAATGTCACTCATATTAATAGATCAAAGGGAAAATTTGGTTATCTCTATACATCCTAAAAATGCACTTGACAAACTATAATGCCCATCCTTCATAAAACTCCCAATAAAAATAAGATAAATAGGTACTTCCTTAACATGATAACATATATCTGTCTCAAACAAAACCCCAGAATCATACTTACCAGGGAGACACTAAAAGCATGTCTGTAAAGCCAGGAATTTTCAAGAATGTCCACTGTTGCCACTTCACCTACCATTGTCCTGAAAGTACTGGTCAACACAATTAGGTAAGAGACAAAGATATCTGGTTAACAAATTGGAAAGGGAGGGGCGCCTGGGTAGCTCAGTCGTTAAGCGTCTGCCTTTGGCTCAGGTCATGATCCCAGGGTCCTGGGATCGAGCCCCGCATCGGGCTCCCTGCTCGGCAGGAAGCCTGCTTCTCCCTCTCCCACTCCCCCTGCTCTCCCTCTCCCGCTCCCCCTGCTTGTGTTCCCTCTCTCACTGTCTCTCTCTCTCTGTCAAAGTAAATAAATAAAATCTTAAAAAAAAAAAATTGGTAAGGGAAAATGATCACTTTGTGTACCTGGAAAATTTAAGAAAATTCTCTAAAAAAATTCTTTAAAAATAAAATTCAGTAAGAGACAAGGTATGAAATTAAGACAAAAATCAATAGCATTCATATCTTTATTTTTTTTAAAGATTTTATTTATTTATTTGACACAGAGAGAGACAGCTAGAGAGGGAACACAAGCAGGGGGAGTGGGAGAGGGAGAAGCAGGCTTCCCGTGGAGCAGGGAGCCCGATGTGGGGCTCGATCCCAGGACCCTGGGACCATGACCTGAGCCAAAGGCAGACACTTAATGGACTGAGCCACCTAGGTGCCCCAGCATTCATGTCTTTTTTTTTAAATCATTTAAAAATATTTTATTTGAGGGTTTTAATAATTTCAATATTTAAGATTTTCCTTAATATTTAATTATTCTTTTTCTTATAATAGTTAACTGCAAAGAGAATATACTGATCTTTTTTTAACATATACTGTATTATTTGTTTCAGGGATACAGGTCTGTGATTCATCAGTCTTACACAATTCACAGCGCTCACCATAGTACTTACCCTCCCCAATGTCCATCGCCCAGCCACCCCATCCCTCCCACCCCCCTCCACTCCAGCAACCCTCAGTTTGTTTCCTGAGATAAGAGTCTCTTAACCCCAGCATTCATATCTTTAAATAACAACCAGTTAAAAGATACTGCTGCATTTAAAATAACCATAAAAGATAAAATAACTGGAATAAAATTAATATAAAGAACTACACAAAATCTTTCTAAAGAAAACCTCAGGGATGCCTGGGTGGCTCAGTTGGTTAAGCGACTGCCTTCGGCTCAGGTCATGATCCTGGAGTCCCAGAATCGAGTCCCGCATCGGGCTCCCTGCTCAGCAGGGAGTCTGCTTCTCCCTCTGACCCTCCCCCATCTCATGCTCTCTCTCTATCTCATTCTCTCTCTCAAATAAATAAATAAAATCTTTAAAAAAAAAAGAAAACCTCAGAAAAATCCTCCTGAGAGTCATAAAAATGACTTGAACAACAACAAAATGGTATATCATGTTCTTGAATATGAAAGATGAATATATAAAGTTATCAGTTCTTCCTAAATCACGAACAAGGTCATTTTAATATCCTAATGAAAAATAAGTTGTCACTAATAGCCAGGAAAAAATTGACATAGAAGAAGAAAGAGGAGAGGTATCCATTCCACCATGGTACTGGTACTTAAGTAGATGAAACTATCTAATGAGGGGCACCTGTCAGTTAAACGTCTAACTCTTGATTTCGGCTCAGGTCGTGATCTCAGGGTCATGAGATCGAGCCCTGCGTCCAGCTCCCCCGCTCAGTGTGGAGTCTGCTTAAGATTCTCTCTCAAATAAATAAATAAATCTTTAAAAAATATATATCTGATGAAAAATTAGAAAGCTTAGGACTTGAGTAAATGATGAGAGTGGCATATCTAATCAGTAGGGAAGAGAAGGATTATTGAACGAATGGTATTGGGACAACTGAATAAGCATCTAGGAAAGAAGATTACCTTAATCCAGAGCTCACACTAATACTAAGGTAAATTTCAAATGAGTCAATAATTTTAATGTAAATGTGAAAACATAAAAGTAATAGAAGAAAGAATGGTAGAATTAATTTATAACCACAAAGTAGGGCTTTCTACCCATGACACAAAATTCAGTTAAAAGACTGATAAATTTGACTACGTGAAAAATAATGTACACAGTAAAAACCATTAGCGAAAAGTTGTTTGCAATTCATCACATATGATAAGCAACATTTCCTAGTAAATAATAAATAAGGAAGTTCTAATAATTGACGGAGAGAAGACCATAACCCAGTAGACAAATGGGTAAAGGATATAAATGGACTGTTTATAGAAATGGAAATACAAATGGCTCTTAAACATATGAAAGCTTGTTTAGTCTCATTCACGGTAAATTCTCCCAAAAGAAATTTTTCTTTTGCTGTCTACTATGTTCCAATAATATTGGCCTTCTGGGTATAGGAGAGACAGCAATGAGCCAAACAGAGATCTCTGGTCTCACTGAGCTTACGTTCAGGTGGAAATGCAAATTAAGGCTACACTGAAATGCCATTTTCATCTACCAGACTGGTAAAAGTCCAGAAGTTTGCCATCACACTCTGTAGCAAGGGGCGATAGGCCCTCTGCACTCTCATACTTTGCTAAGGTGAACAGGGAGGCTAAAGTGGTACAACTTCTATGATATGAAATTTGGCAATAACTATCAAAGTTACACATGCATAAGCCCTTTGAGCCAGCAATTCTATTTCTAGGAATTTCTCCTGTGGATTACTTACATAGGAGAGAAATAATGTATGTGCAATGTTTATTGCTAGTGTGTTTGCAATATTAGATTAGACACAATCTAATAGGAGGGTGTTTGAAGACAGGATGATACATCCATACTATGGAATACCAGGAAATTGTAAAAAAGAATGAGGAAGCATTTACGGGAAAAGATCTCTTAGACCATTAAATATACATACAAATATATGTATAGTATGCTACCAATGGTGTAAAGAAAGACAAAAAGAACATATGTGCATATAAGTGTATAAATCTATCTATCATCTATATTTCTATCCACAAAAATCTAAAAACCTTGTTTGTCTGTGGCAAAGGAAGGAGAAAAGGGAAAGAATTATGTGATGTGGTAGAAAGCAGTTGTCTGTAGGAAGTGGGGTAAGAGGGAGACATTTTGCTGAATATCCCTTCATAGTTTATAAAATTTTAATCATGTGAATGTATCTCTTATTCAGAAAATTGAGTCCAAAAAATAAGTCTTTCTTATTAAATTTTTTTCTAATTAAAAGAATAAAACTCTGAGGGATGGTTTAACAGTATTTCTATTTTGGTAATCTGTACCAGTGTTTAATCATCTTCATGAATAAGAAGCATGATATTGTTTTTTTTAATGCATGTAGAAATTTTTAAAAATTAAAAAAAATTTTGATAAGCATCATTATCTTGATTACACTTAAATCTTCCTTTTTGATTTGTCTTCTTAGAAGCAGCTACTCAAACTTCTCTTTAAATTATAGGTCACCTCATTTCCATTCATGTCCAGGGCTTTGTATAAAAAGTAGAGACATCTGTGAAGCAAAAACCACATGTATTATGTAAAACTCAAGTTTCAATATAAAAACTAGAAAATCAAGGCCCCAGATCCCAGCAGAATGAAAGAGATACCATATGCCATGGGCCTGAAATTTCATCTCCTACCTTGAAGTCAGCTGCAGATAATATTAGAAGGATTTGATGTCACATAGTTCTAGAAAAGGAGGACAGATTAGAATTCATTTGATTTGGAACTTGGCTTCTTGGAAAATTGTCCCTGAAATCAAAGATGGTATTAATACAAATTCTTAGGGACCTATTCTAACAAAACGCAAAGAAAATATTTGCAGTCAGTTTCCATACTAAAGTTCTTTTCTTTCTACTTGGCATTGCATGTAAAAAATATTTTTCTCTACTTTGCTCCTCTAACTATGCATCAGGTCTAGAGCTCAGGAAGTGGGGGGAGAGGAGAAATGAAAGAAACAGAATTAAGAGAAATGGGTTAACGGTGTCACAGTTGTAGGCAGGAAATTTAGGGAGTGATGGAAACTGCCAATATCCTTGCTAGATGGAGGGCATGGTTCTCTTAGCACGTTGGAAAATGTTGTTATCTGTTTTTGCATTGCTATTTGACAAAGCACAGACTAGAACAGCTCTCCTTCTTAAAAAATAGAGACCAAGCAGAGGCTGCCCTTGACTCAGGTCAAGAAAGTGCTTCCTCCAATACCGGAACTAGAAGTTACCTCCATGGTGCATCTGCAAGATCAGTATACACGGTAAGTGATGATTTGGCTTTACTGATGATTTGCCTTTGTTCATTATAAACGTGAAAGATCCAAGGAGGTACAATTTACCCCAACCTTCATTTCTATCTGGGAGTAGGAGACGAAAAGTGATGAACTTGCAAAAGCAGTTCAGATGAATTAGATGACATGAAATAAAATCACTATTTCTTCCAAGGTCTAAGAAGGACCAAAAAACAAATCTCTTAGTCTGTTAAACAGCATGTGCCCCTGAGATGTCAGCTCATCCCTTGGCTGTTTCCTCAGGTTGGGTCATACATAATCCCAGCAGGCCAATCGTTTCAGTCGGCACATGAGAGAAGAGAGAACGTGAATTTATAAGCAGAACAACCCCTGACCCTCAATTACTGAAATTAAGAACTTCCCTCAATGTAACATCTGATGAGCTAATTAATGTGCATTGATTTTCATGTACTTAAATCCCAAACTGTGGTCAGAAGTGTCTTAGAAATATTTTTCATTCATTCAACACATATCTATTAAGTAGCTGTTATGTTAAAGGCACTATAGACAGCTATTGTAGGGGGTATAAAAATTATAACAGAGAAGAGGGGAGACACTAGCATTTATCAGTATCCTTTTATTGTGCTTCATGGTGATAGGCTAGATCATTTACTTGTCTTTATTTTTTTTTTCAGTTTCAGGTGTAGAATTTAGTGATTCAAAACTTACGTACAATACCTGGTGCTCATCAAAAGTGCTCTCCTTAATCCCCTTCACCGATTTCCCCATCCCCCCACCCGCCTCCCCTCTGGCAACCAACTTTGTTCTCTAAACTTAAGAGTCTGTTTCTTGGTTTGCCTCTCTTTTCTCCCCCCCATATTTGTTTGTTCTGTTTCTTAAATTCCATATATGAGTGAAATCATATGGTATTTGTCTTTCTCTGAAAGACAAAATATGTCTTTGACTTATTTTGCTTAACAC